CTTGCAGCCCTTCTTCCCTCTTTCAGAGAAGATCTTGTCTTCCTATTACCAACATCTCATTCCTCCTTTTGGTGCTGTTTTTCCTGTGCCTAATTCAATGCCTGGAAGATTTAATTCATGATAAGGCAACACATTAAAAACAGGCAGAAATGAGGAGCTGTGCTCCCCAGATCACCTCTGTTCCAGTGGGTGGTGTTCTGTGGGCTGGCTCAAGGCCACTGGTGGAACAGGAGATCTCCAAGAGCAGATGGAGATTTCCCAAAGCTTCAGGGCTTTCTTTGTGTGCAGGTTGAATGCTCAGTGCACTGACTGAGTGTCCTAAAGAGGAGTAGGATGAGCCACAAGTGCAGCGGTGTGAGAGTGGTTTTTCCACTTAAAGCTGGAAAATAGGGAGGCAAACCCTTACTGGGATGTTACTGCCTGTTGGCAGTGGCTTCTTAAAGCTTAAATATCTCAGAGCTTAGAGCAAACTGCCAACTGCACCATCCTATGGGCACCAGTGCCAGGGTGGGGTGGGAGATGGGCAGGACTGGGAGCATCATTCTGAGATCTAACGTGGGAACTTCAGTGTTGTTCCTAAAGTTCATCCATGGGAGGAGGGAATAATAGAATTACAGAATCATTAAGGTTGGAAAAGACCTCCAAGACCATCGAGTTCAACACTTGAGCAATCCCCCCCCATTCCCCAGCCCAGAGCACTGAGAGCCACCTCCAGTCCTTCCTTGGACACCTCCAGGGGTGGGCACTCCAAACCTCCCTGGGCAGCCCCTGCCAGTGCCTGACCACCCTTTCCATGAAGGAATTTTCCCAATATCCAACCTGCCCCTCCCCTGGCACAGCTGGAGGCCATTCCCTCTCCTCCTGTCCCTGTTCCCTGGGAGCAGAGCCCGACCCCCCCCGGCTCCCCCCTCCTGTCAGGGATTGCAGAGCCAGAAGGTCCCCCCTGAGCCTCCTTTTCTCCAGGCTGAGCCCCCCCAGCTCCCTCAGCTGCTCCTGCTGCTCCAGCCCCTTCCCAGCTCCGTTCCCTTCCCTGCAC